CCCTTTATTTAATGTACTGTAGTAGATTATTCTCCTTCTGCTGTCCATTTCTAGGAATATCTCATATAGATTTTATTTTGGTACTACTCAGTTATTGCTTGCCCTGTTTCCACTGAGTCCAAGTATTTATGTTATTTACTATTGTCATGTCCATAAAAAATAGACAAATAAAAATTAATTATAGTGTCAAAAATAATTATAATAAAATAATTATAGTGAAAGAGATAATCATTTACCCCGAAAAAAAGTTTGTGTTCTGTGTACGATCTGCCGAAGAAAAATTACAAAAAGTAGTTAGCAAAAATCTACTTCAATGACTAGAATCTATGCTAATGTTCTCCCATCCCCTGAATGACCAATCAGAAAAATTTCTCGATGAACCAAAGCCGTTGTTTTTTGCTTATAAAGACAGAAGATTTTCTGAGCTGAACACGCATTTTTGCTTGTGAGAAGTGAAGGTTGGATGTGTGACTCCATTTTTTTTTGTTTCTACTTTGCTTGTTGGACTGTTACAACAGACTATCATTTGAACTGTGATTTGGCTACAAATGTTGCGGTTGAGAAACAGAAGAAATCTATTGCAGTTGCTACTATAAGTTGACAGTCTTTTCTTTACTACAACACAATTATAACAATCATATAAATTATAAACCAATTGACACACAAACATGTGAGTAATAAGACAACAAAATTTCTCATCAGATATCTTGCAAGCAGCTCCTGCTCAGTCATTGCTTTCACTGTCTTCATCACCATCTAAAAATTGTTTAGAAACACTATTTGTTTTACTGCCAGAGTAAGAAGACACAGGAATAAAGAACTTTCTCATGAGATACTTTCTCAGCCACTCCCAAGTGATTAAGTGTCATCAAGTAACTTTTCGAAGCAATCAACCAACCCAATATTGCTCAGTTATTGTTCAAACTCACAACTACTATGTAACCAAATTCAGACAGAAACTGATTATGTACTGAAAAGACAAACATGACACAAAATTTGGTGTTTTTCTGTGTCTGTTATTGAACTCTTCCTAGGATTTGTGTGATAGACCACCATAATCATATATATTCTGAAACTACATTACCCAGGGTACTTGGATAAGTATATTTTATTTTAATGAAATAGAGTACCCCAGGGGGCACAAACACCACACTGAAAATTTTTTTCCCTTTAATTTAAATTAAATTTAAACAAGGAAATGACTCCTATCCCAAATATAGAAGGAGAAAGCCAGAAGATCAAGGTCACATCAGCAAGATCATTGAGTAATATTGAAATGCATCATATCTACAAATTATAACAATGATTTAATCATCATTTTCTTACAAAAAAAATATGTGACTTGAAGCAAGGCGCGGCTAATTTGGCTAGAACAGAATATACCTTTTTCAGATTGAGTCATTTTCATTTTTAGAATTAATACAAGGCTTTCCCATTCTAATCAGCAAGTTGTTCCACTAGAGGAGTTGGTTACTTAAAGATCTATATTTCATATTGGATGTCTAATTGAGAATGAAATGTGTCATTTAGTGTTGACAGCTGATGTAATCATGCAGTTTTAAGGTGGCAAGATCAATATAATACAACAGATGGCCTTTTACAGTTTAGTTCTTATGACATTGATAACTTATGAGAACAATATGATTGAGCTGCTCAGATCCATACCAGTCTACAATAAATCATTCTCTCTCTCTCTTTATATATATATATATATATATATATATATATATATATATATAATAAAAAAAAAAAAAAAAAGAAAATTATGAAGTTGACTATTTATTTTAGACATAATGATCCAAGGGTCACATGAATGAATATCAAAATATTGACTGAATTAATTGTCAATAATCAAATATTTAATATGGACAAATATATTCTGAGATTCACTTTCATTCTTTATTTTAAGCCATGACTATTATTTCAGTTTGTTAGAGATCTCATTTCAGATTAGTACTGTAAGTAACTTACTAGTAATCATCAGCTGTAAATTGACAGGCAGTAGATTCCAGGTTCAGTTGGTATGCACAATAACTACTCTTAAATCTGGAATATAAGTTGGGTTGGAAAAGAAGGGGAGATTGTAAAATCCAAAATTAATAAAGGGGTCTGGAATAAAAGGGCAGGATGGAAAACAAAAAAAATGAATACGTGGGCAACAGTGGATTGGTTGAAAAAAACATAAAATCAAAATATTTGTATTGTGAGAAACTATTTACTGCATGTATACTACATACTGTCAAAATGTGCAACAAAACAAGATCAAGATAAGCAAGTTGAACGACAGGAAAACCAACTACCGTAATTCCCTGTAAGCATACTGAAAGCAAAGGAAATATTTGTAGCAGATTACTTCCACAATGCAGAGAATAAATCACTGTAAGTTCAGACTCGAATATCAGGCCAGAAAGAAATGCTGAAAACTCAATTCGCAGGTACTATCTCACAAATCCCAATGCATGTAACCAGTCAGAAAAATAACGCAGTAGCCAAAATGCACCAATTTTTTCTCCGATTCGAGAACACCAACTGCTTTTATCACTCGAACATTTTTTCCATTCGTCGACAGCTAGGAGAGGACGCTTAATTTTTGCATATCAAAATACTTTTATAGAGACTCCTACAATAGACTTGTTTTTAATTTAAATATTCTGTCTTCAGCATGTCATGTGTAATACGTGCCCTTTTTTTTGGTAAGTAATTTTCTTTTTTGCCACATTTTCCATTGTAGGATACACACAATGTGCTGTCACTTGGTTTGACAAGGTAAGTAACCGTTTTCTTTGCTATATTCCCCATGTATAATACGCATTTTTCCTAAAAAATTATAATCAAAATCAGGAGTGTGCATTATGCACAGCTACAAAAAAATCTTTAAAAAAATTGCCATAAAATAAAATAAGAATTATCATAAAACTAAATTAAAATAATATTATTCTATGTTTAAAACCATTTTTTTAAAATAAGAGTAGGAAACACTTGCTGTAATGAAATTGGAGAGGTACAATTTATAGGGTTTGATTACCAAACAAGGGTTGCATATTATGCATGAGTAGAAGCATTTTCCCCACACTTAGCACAATTTTAGGGGCACGTATTATGGATGAAAACATATTATACATGAGGAATTACAGTAGGTTTTATAGTAAAGGTTTTATTTCAATTTTAGTGATTTGGTCAGTGGATAAAAAGGAAAACAAAGGCTTACTGGCAAGAAGTAAGAAATACTCCAAGATAACTTCAGAATGGAGTTGCTGAGTTTTTGCAGTATAGTTTACATGTCAGGTCAGCAAAAGGTAGTAAAGATACACCACTCAAGCAGGTTTCAGGAACAAGTGACTCAGCCAGTGAAATAGCTTAATTTTGGCACCAACCAATGAATATGAATATGAATATGAATACCCAGATGAATGACCTCCACCGGTAAGGCCATCTGCTCACATCAAATGAACCAGAACTTGAAATTTCTTTCATAAAAAATAGACTCACTTAACAATACAAAGTATAATAAATGAATGCAAAGTAACATATGAATCATGTATATGCAATATTATGGATCAGAATGTTCAAACTAAAGTATGGTGTATGGTAAATTTTGATTGATAGGTTCTGTCGTGTGTAAGATGGGAATTTACTTTAAAAAAGATGAGTAACCAATATTTGTTTTCAGAACAAAAATGGAGGGAAAAGAGGTTGGAATAAACAGACAGGTTGAAAAAGAGAAAATAAGTAGTCTAGAATAACAGTTGGTAGTTGGAAAAAAAATTAAAATTTAAGTAGCCATCTAAGCCTGTTGATTTCAGATACAAAATTAAGCAACAGTAATGAAAGAGGCTGTTTTCAGATGTCTCATTGTGCCAAGGGCAAACAATGAAACATGTTTTTAGTCAAGGGCTGTAACTCATCTTAACTTTCCCTATTTTTAGTTTCATGCTGTCAGGGCTTTGAAAACAGGTATTTTACAAGTAAATATAAATATGTAAAAAATACATATAAAATAAGGAAGAAAAAGTCAAAGAGCTGCATGTCGCTTGTAAGCTGTGGTTTGGCCATACCCGTACTAGATGGAAGTATTAACAAGCAGATGTAAATTTTCATACTACCCTCAACTGATCTTAACTATTACATGCTGATCCATCCTAGTCTCCAACTTCTGAATGTTTCCGCTAATATATTGAGTATCACACAGACATTTGTAATTATAAATCACTGAACTTACATGATCTCCTTGAATGAATTTCAGCAGAGGCTAGGAATTGGAAAGAAAGGTTTCCTTTTCTGTATTATTTATGAATTGTCATGCATTCTTGTGGACAATAGGGGAGTGGTTTCCTGTTAACATCACCTCAGTTTGAAGTTCAAAGTTTTCTTCTCTTAGATTGTCAACTGAGCTGAGTGACAGCCAAACTTGGACTTTCATGCCTGTCAAAAACAAAAAAAAAGAATGTCACAAGGATGGTTTTATAAATGAATAAATTCACTTTCATAAGTTCAGATTTTAATAAAATACTAATCATCACTTTTTAAAACAAACATTGCCAAGGAGTGAAGATGGTGAAAATAATAGTGGTGTCAAGAGAAAAACTGACCTTTTGAAACTGTTTTTTGCAAGTACGAAGGTCCATGATTACTGCTCATTCTAACTTGGTATTTAACCCATAGTTTGGAGGAGAAGAGATGAATCCATGTCTTTCTCAAAGGCACTGGTGCATAACTGAATGCAATGGACTAGCTCAAAACACCAATAATCATTACCCTATCCATATAGCCATCATTCACAGTACCATCTGCATCAAGTTCATTAATCTTTTGATATACGAGTTACATTTTTACCTTTCTTAAAATAAAAAGCATAATATGCCAAGAATGTTGCTTATTTTCAAATCCATCATTCTTAGAATCAATAATAAAAAATATACCAATATTGAGACATTTATTATAAGATGCAAAATATGATAGTTATCACAAGACAATCAAAAGTGTCTTACAGCCTTATTATGTTGAAACACCTGTTCCTTTATGATCACCAAAGTTAAACAATGTCAAGCCTGGTTAGTACCTAGATGGGTAACCACTTGGGATGTGCAGATGGTGTAATGGATAATGGCTCAGAATTGTTAATTGGAGAGCCGAGTTCCAATTTCACTTGGGTTTGTTATATTCACTTACGCACAAATAGCCTTGGGAAAAGTATGAATCCACCTCTTCTCTCCCTAGCTATGGGTTAATTAGTAAGACTTGTATCACTAAATCATTTATATCTCAAAAAGAAATAAGTAAAATTGCATAAAAAATATTTAGATTTCAGTATCAAATAACCCATAGAGGTGTTGATATGCTGCTAAAGAAAAATAACCAAACAACCAACCAAAGTGATTTTTTTGAATGAAGTTAATTAAAACTAAACATTACCAATACCATTTAATGATAATAGCAGAATAAACCTTTGGTTCTATTCAATAATGATCAATCATGGAGAAATGGATTGCAACTCTGATTGAGGAATCGGAGCACCAAGTTTGAATTCCAATTGAATTCATGACATTCACTTAAATGCTAATACTCTTGAGAAAGGTATGAATCCAACTACTCCTCAGCTATGGGTTAAATATCCAGATAGACTGGGTCTTATAACCTTGGTTGATGACTAGTCTAGGAGAAGAAAAACTCTGAATTCAAACCAACCTGGAATCAGTAACACCTCTGCTACTGCGACTGCAGTACATATGGTGCCCATACAATCCTAATGGATTATGGGATTTGTGATTGTGTGATCAATCATCTGAGCTTTATTGCTGACATGTACTTCCTTTTTTTTATCAAAGCATTAACAAAAGTGACATTTTTAAAGCTGTTTTGCAAGCAAAGTGACTGTGAAAGAAAAGCATTTTTTATGACTTTTTTTTTATTCTAAATGTTCACAGCATACTGAAATTGCAGGTCTAGATGTCAGGAGAAACAAATGAAAGAGATTTTTAACTTAAATAATAAATTTTCATCACCAATTAAATTTAAATGCAATCTAAGTATGATGACATAACAAGTAAAATATCTCCCTCTTCAAACAAGTGGAAAACACAAAAGGGGAGATAATTCAGTCAGCCAAGAAAAGTTTCTTTATGCTAATGATAATAGGGAAATTGCATTTTGGGCTCATCCCTTTGCTGACAACCATGCATTCTGTCTTTTAGTTTATACTTAGTCCATTCTTCTCACTTTCCTTTGCTACTTTCTGTAGAAGCTTTTGCAATTTCCTTTGTGTGTCTGCTATCAACACTGTATCATCTGCATATCTTATATTGATAAGATTGTGACCACCAATAATAAATCCTGGTAGGACTTCTAATTCTTCCAGAATTGTCTCACTGCATAGGTTGAATAGATCCAGTCAAACAAGTACATAAATTTAAATATCTTGGAAGTGTTCTAATAGAGGACAGAAAGTGTGACACTGAGATCCAAAGATGTATTGGGATGGCCAAAGATGCATTACAAAAGCTAAGCAGGGTATTAAGAGACAGAGAAATTTTGTTAGAAACAAAGAAAAGAGTACTGAACTGTTACGTGATATATGTCCTGTATAGCAATGAATGCTGGACAATCATAAAGATGAAGAGACTTGAAGCAATAGAAATGTAGTTCTACAGAAAGATGCTGAGGATACCATAAACCAAACATGTAAGCAATGACAAGGTTTTAGAGAAAATGGAAACAAAAAAAACTTATACTTAACATCAGGAAAAGGCAGTTGAAATTTATGTGGCACATAATGAGGAAGGAGGGCTTGGAAAATCTGATACCCACTGGACAGATTGAGGGAAAGAGAGGCAAAGGAAAGCTGCACATAATTGGTGAGGTTGAGTAAATGAATAGTAGAACAGGGTTTGGAAGAAATAACAAAAAGACAAAACTTATTAAGAGCTACAAGAGACAGGAAGATGTGGAGGGCCATGATCGCCTACGTCCTGAAGGGATATGGCACATAAAAGAAGAAGAATAGAGAAATTAACTGTTTACAGGAAACATTTAGCATCTGTTGACTGAACAGTTAACCAGTTGAAATTTCTATTAAAATAAATCTTCAGGAAAATAAATTCCTCAAGTCCATTAAAGGTTATGGCTCTTTCCAATATTGATGGGAGTTTCCTACCTAACCTTTTGTCTGAAGTAGTGTGTAAAGTCAACAGCTTGATTTTACAGAGTGAGGCAGAAGGGATGGAAGTTTTTGAAAAATTCACATCATTAATTTTAGCTTCAAAAAAATTTTATTTACATCAATGTGTTCACAGTGAATTAGCATTTGACAAAATCAAGTGTGGAAAACAACATCCCTCATGTGGTATCCGTTTTTATTGATGCATTTCTAAAGGTGTTCTTGGAAGTTGGCCTCCACCCTGTCAATTTGGGTAACTTCTATGTGAATAGCTTCTTTCAAATCATCCAATATACAGGGCTTATGCTCATACACATATGCCTTGAGGTTTCCCCACAAGAAATAATCCCACATGGACAAATCAGGAGACAGGGATCCAAGGGATGTCAGCAAACCTGGAAATGAGGCAGTCACCAAAGAGAGAATAAAGAACATCCATTGATGGTTGCCCCATCTTGCTGAAACCACACACATCAGATAGGAATACATTTTTGTTGTAATTCAGACACAAAGAAGTTGAATGTTATCTCAATGTAATGCCTGGAGTTCACAGTAACAGCATTTCCATTATGGTTCTCAAAAAGTAAAGACTAATGAAGCTAGCTTTTCCAATACACCAAACCATCACTTTTAGGCTGTGCAGTACTCTCAGATTTTCAAGAGCCCAATAACAACAATTTTATTGATTCACCATGCCATTGAGATGAAAATGAGCTTCATCACTCATGAACAAAATGTGGTTGTCATTTGCCTCAAAAATTGCTTCCATCTGACATGCAAAGTTAAGCCACTGTGCATAGTCCCCCTGGTTTCATCTGTTGGCCAGTGATCAATTTGTAGGGGTGGAAATGCACTTCTTCATGAAAAATATGCCTTACTGAATGATTATTGATGCCAAGTTTAGTCGCATGCCTCTGAGCAGAGCAATTCAGACTGTGCAGCAAAGCTTGTCTGATGTGTTCCACATTTTCTGAGGTACGTACCATTCATGGGGCTTCCATCGGTCTGCCATTCATTAGTGTACCTCATGTACAAAGTGCATGAACCCAATGTAAGGTTGTGTCACAAGTGGGAACAGCCTGCTTTTGTTGAATGTTGAATTGGTGACTAAACTTATGCCAAACTGCTGTTACAGACTCATTGTTATTTGTGAAACTGTCACAGGCAAACACACGATGCTCTATCATCCACAGTACCATGACCTCAACTGAAAAGAAAAAAATTGCTAAGACAACATGAACTGAATGGTTCCTGTCGAACATATGTCCCTCCCCCAGGGTCTGAGTAATAGCCATTTCAAAAACGTCTGTCCTCTCTGCCTCACCCAGTATCATTAATTTCTCTTCTAGTTACATGTGCAACTCATTTTAGTTGTTGATGTCTTCAAGTGATATGGTCTTTTTTTATTTGGTCAGAACTGTTAGAAAGCAGAAGATGAAAGCATAACAAAAAATATTGCTCAATCATGTTTTCATTGAGGGAATTCTAAACTGACACAGGATTAGATGAATGTATTGTTGTAACACTATTTAGCTATGGTAATTGATTAACTAATTAGCCATAAAAATTAAACAAGAAAATACTGAGAACAGAAAAGAAGATATCCTGAGATTTTATTTTTACTTTAAAAAAAAAAAAAAAAGTCACTTTTCTCAAGAAACCAAGGATTTGCGTCAACGATAAATTCACAGAAGGGCAATGTGGTGTAAAAGTACTGGCTAAGAAAACATGAGAACCAGAAAGCGTCGAAGATATCATTCAAAATCGCAAAGATTTTTAGGAGTTGACCAATTCTAAGAATTTTTGGCATAGGAAGATGTTTCAAGAGATATGCCGTTCAATATGGAACAATTTTATTTTTACTTTTCTCAAGAACCCAAGGATTTGCATTAATGGTAAATTCACAAAAAGGCCATGTGGTGAGCTTTTGACAATTGATTAATGATACTGGTTAAACACAAAATGACCAGAAAGCATCAAAGATATCATTCAAAATTGCAAAGATTTTAGGAGTTGCCCAAGTGACAGGGCCATGTGTTAATTGTAAAATGGAAAAGGGAATTTCATAAACAAAGCTGATAATTCTGAACTCAGAAATCCTGAATAAAGATGTCAAAGAGTTAATTAATGAAGCAAGCTTAGCCACACCCACATGACCAAGACACCATTGGTCAGGTGGTAGAAATGGTGATAGGGAGAAATAAATTGGTAACAAAGACAGATATGGATAAATAGCAGGACAGACCGGGTTTTGTAGCCTTGGATGGCAACTGGTCTACCGTAGAAAGAAATAGCAACCTACTACAGGAAAAAATCTGCCTCATCAGTCATGTATCAAAAGATACATGATCGCTAAACGTGTATCACACATGGCACATAACTAACTGACCCTCATCATTACAAAAATGGCCCTTCCACTATAAGAGAGTCAATACAGTAGAGAACAGTTGAGTAAACTAGGGTACCCATAGAAGTAGACAAGTAGTAGTAGTAGTACAGAAACTTATGTCTTTGCCAGGACTCCATGAAGATCAAAAACAGATGATGTCAAAATCCATCCTCACAAACTAAATTCTCAAAACCAAACCAAGTAAGCACCAACTTTTAAACACACACCATACCAATATTCTGTAATTCACATCACAAAAAGAAAATATAAATTCTTGTTTTTATGTCAACATGTGTCTCAAGTTTTTATTATCATACTGTTTTATGCATTTTAATTTCTGTCATTAATACCAAACCCGTTACAGTCAACAAATAATAACAGGGTGTGGGGAGAATAATACATCAACACCCAACACGTCACCCCCCCCCCCGTTACAAGTCCCTACATATAACATTCTTTTATGTCTGCAATATCAATATGTCATATCAACAAAATATCTCATCAGCTGCAGCAGAAAGATTATTACATACACAGCTCTTATTGCCATTTATGAA